CAACGCCAGAGCCCACCCTGAGGCCGCACAGCCACCCGTCCTGAGCTGCGTCCCCACCACCGCGGGCACCTTGGCCACTGGTGACACAGCAGGAGACAAGGTTCGCTCCGAGCGGCTCTCGTCGCATAACCTCCCTGGGTAACGTGGCCACCGGGCAGCACAGCGTACCCCTCTCCGACCCTGACACGGCCACCCGCTTGGCTCTCCTTACAGGAACGTGCAGAAATCAAATCGATCAACTCCAGCTTTACACGAGGGTGTGAGCAGCATTCACACCGCGGCAGGGAAACGGGATGGCACGGCAGACGTTCGTCACTCCCTGTCCCTGCCTGGTCACTCACTTGATTAAGGACCGATGGCCGCTGGCGTGCGCAGTCCCGCCCGCGCCGGGCGCCCTCGGCACACAGCTGGGCCCCCCGAACGCCTCGGTGCAGGGTCTCCAGCAAAGCACCCACCCGGGCCGGGACAGCTTAACAGACGTAGATTTGGTACCTTTACTTTCCCCAAAGCCAACCAGCGAAGATACGGTGGAGGGAGTGAGCAGCATTGCATAAATATTTGATTTAAACAGTTATGGTATGTTTTGATCCAGCTCGCTGCGTCGCGGACTGAGGTCTTAACAACCTGCAACGAACGCAGCCGCTCGGCCCCGTGCGATGTGACTTCGGCACCGCGGCCCGGCCCCGTTTAAAGATGGAGCCAGGGCCAGCTTTGCCACGAGCGGTCGTCACTCGGGGGGAAAGTGCCGCGCCTCGCCTTGCAACGAAACGCCAGGGAGGAGTGGGGAGGTTATACCAGCAGCTCATCCCCGCGTTTTGAAATCTCTCACCTCGTGAACGGTAAGGTGTAAAACCCAGAGGTGGAGGAACCGAGCAGGAACCCTCCAGCCAGGCTCCGTCAACACATGACTAAGGCGTTCTCACCCGGGTTGCCCCATCGGCTTCCCCGCGACGACCAAACCCAGTGAGGACGGAACCCTCCCAACCAAAACAACGCTCGCTCCGGCAGACAGAAACGCTCTCCTGCAGCCCAGCGCTCTCCGCAGCAGCCCGGGCGAGGGACGACCCGGTTCCCACGCCAGCGCCGACCGGGCCGAGACCGCCGACACCGGACGCA